TGTTAATAATGTTATCTTTTATTTATACAGAGTAACTTTTTTGCTTTTCGCTTAAACTTTGTTCGGTGCTCTTTGTGTGGAAATGTAATTGCATTTGGCTCCCACCTTGATGGTAGGTGGAGCACCTGACAGCCTGAACTTTGAATTTTTTTTGTGGTAAGGGTGAAGAGGCCTGGTTTGGCATTTCAATGTTTTACTTTTCCCACTGAACCTTCACCCTCAAAATGAGTGAATGAATTATGAATGAAGACTCAATAGAATTCGACTGAATTTGTGCGAGGCTCGTTGGCACAACATTTAAGCGAAGAGGAATCACTAAAGAGACTCTCTTTGAATTGTGATTATTCTCGGAGCGTGCCCAAATAATAAACTTCGATTTATGATTCAATATTTTTAGTGTGTATTTGAAATAAATTAAACAACGTTTTGCTTAGAGAGTAGACAAATCAAGTAAATGCCCAGTGGCATGGTGGCTGGCAGTGCCACGAATAACAAGTGATATCCATGTGGCTGCAGCCTAGGGCTTGTAGGTGAGGGGACCGCCGCAGTTCTTGTAGCAGAGGTAGCTGGGGCGCGTGCGCCACTTGCGGCAGTAGCGCCGATAGCAATTGTTCGGATTGGGCGAGGGCGGACGGACGGTGGGTGGCCGAACGGTGGGTGGCTCGTTGGTGGGTGGCTCGTTGGTGGGTGGCTCGTTGGTGGGTGGCTCGTTCGTGGGTGGCTCGTTCGTGGGTGGCTCGTTCGTGGGTGGCTCGTTGGTGGGTGGCCCATAATTGGGTGGCTGTGTTGGTGGCTGCGTTGGTGGCTGCGTTGGTGGCTCAGTCGGTGGCTGCGTTGGTGGATCAGTCGGTGGCTGTGTTGGTGGCTCTGTTGGTGGCTGGGTTGGTGGCTCCGTTGTGACTACATCGATGCTGCAGTCGTTGGCCACGTTGCCAATCAGTTGGTTCAGCACACCCACATTGGCCAGCACATTGGCATTCACATTTACCAGCTTGAAAATGCGATTATTATCGCCCACAATCTCCGTGTTGGGTCCACCTGCAAGAGGGAGAGAGGGGTATGGGGTAAGAGAAGGGGCTCCTTGAGATCTTATCGTTTAGAGTGCACTTACGGCTGACGCTGTTGCCCACGCAGGCGGCACCGCTGCCCTTGATCATGTTCAGGGCTGCCACATTGGCCAGGATGTTGGGTTCCACGTCGATCAGCTTCAGGATTTCATTGTTGTTGCCCACAATGATCTGTCCGGGTCCACCTGAAAGAGTTTTGATCTTCAGCACAATGTCCTTGAAGGCTGATTAAAGCAGGCAACACTCACTCTTGACTGAATTGCCAACGCCTGAGCCGGAACCAGAGCCGGAGCCGGAGCCGGAGCCGGAGCCATCAATGCTGTTCAGGGCCAAGAGGCTGGCCAGCACGTTGCCACTGACATCCACGACATTGATGAGCTTGTTGTTGTCGCCGGTGACAGTGTCCCCGCTTTGAGTCAGAAAGTTGCCCCCTAGTAGACCACCGCCAGAGGAGCCGCTGCCGCCGCCCGTGATGCTGTTCAGGGCCAAGGCGTTGAGGCCAATCGGCAGAGCGACATTGACCAGCTTCGAGACGACATTATCTTTACCCTTGACAGTGCTGCCACTCGCTGGAACAACAAATTAGTCAGCAAGCAGAAAGGACTTCAGTCCAAAAGCTACTCACAATCGATTTGGTTGCCAATGAGTCCGGAGCCGGAGGAAGAGCTGCCGCCTGCGCCCGTGATCTTGTTGAGGGCAAGCACATTGGCTCCGATCGGAGCTACCACATTCACAAGACCGCCCAGCAGATTGTTGTTGCCAGTTACCGAATCTCCCGATGCTGCGAGCGAGAAGAAAGGAACATCACAATAAATTCAGCGGAGGAGCAGACAGGAGGGAAAACTTACAAGTAATTTGGTTGCCAATCAATCCGCTTTTGGTGGCAGTGCCAGAAGAACCATTCGTAGAGCTGCGAGTGGATCCAGTGGAGGCAGTCGAGCCAGTGGATCCTGTAGAGACAGCAGAGCCAGTGGAACCAGTCGAACCAGTGCCCGTGGAGCCAGTGGAAGAACCACTTCCGGTTGAGTTCTGACCCGTAATGGAGTTCAAGAGAGAAACGGCCAAGCCGAGCACAATATCGGCATCCACCAGGGTGGACACTGAATTGTTTTTGCCCTTAATGACTGTACGTGGACCCTCTACAAAGAGCACAATGAAATCATCAGCAAGTGAGGATCAGTAAACCATCTTCCCAAACACTTACGTAGATTTTGGTTGGTAATGGCGCCACCAGATACTTTGGTGAGAACTGGAGCCACTGCCCCAACGACAGCATTGGCACTGACGAGACTTGTCTTGCTATTGCCATCACCCTCAATGACAGTGTCCGGTCCCTCTGCATTGGAAGAATTCGAATTGAATAGTTTAAGGAGCGAATTCCCAAGTGTTTTAGCAAGCCAACTCACGTTGATTTGTATTTCCAACGATTAGTCCAGAGGGGCTGCCAGAAGTGGTGGAGCCACTGGATGTCGTGGAACCACTCGAACCCGTGCCAGTGGTGGTGCCTAGCAAGCCCGTTGGAGAGCCACTTCCGGAAGTAGCACCCGCAGCCTGTCCGGTAAGGGAGCTGAGAACAGCAAGGGCCGCCTGGACAACAGCATTGACCTCCACAGCATTGGCCACTGTGTTGTCGGAGCCCGTAATGGAAGCAGTTGGACCCTCTAGAATGATTCAAAAAGGTAAGAACTAGAAAATAGATATGGAAAACTATTCCACTTACGTTGATTCACGTTGCCCAAACTGCCGCCGGATACATCGCTAAGAATCGGAATCGCTGCACCAATGGGAGCGTTGGCCTTAACCAGACTACCCTGGAAGTTGTTTGTGCCTTTGATGACAGTGCCCGCCTCTGTACAAGAAAATTGAATAGTTAAATGAGGAATTCCTGTGTGAGTTTTAGTATCAACTCACGCTGATTAACGTTTCCAACTGTGGGTATAGCACGCTTTGCTGTAGCCACCGACTTTTCGCTCATCAAGCTCTTGACATCCTGCAGAGAGCCACCGCCGTTGAGGCTGTTGAGCGCCTCCACATTGCTGTTGCTGGGGGGACTCACAATGGAGCGATCGAGGGCCGTCATCAGGCCGAGCAGCACCACCTTGGCCACACCCATCTCGAGGAGGCGAACCGCCCAGCTATCGGGAGTGGCGGCACAGAAGCCGCTTCTGTGACCCTGCGAAATGGTCGTGAGGCTGTCCAGCAGGGAGACGATCAGCATGCTGAAGGCATTCACCTGGAGCAGGCTCATGCCATCGGGACCCACTGAAAGAGAGCGAGAGAATTAGTCCTGATCAGCAGTCATAATTCTCCACTCGTTATAGCTACTCGTTATGGCAACTCGTTGCTCGTTAAACTTACTTTCTTGCAGATTTTGGATGATGTTGTGAGCCTCGCTACCCGAGGCACCGCACACTTGCAGCAGGGTATTGAGAATCGTTGTCAGCTGGGTTACATTCCGCGCCTGTAGGAAGCTCAAAACCGTCTCCCGCTCGCCCTTAGTCGCGGCAAGGGGGTGTCCGACGCGCCGTGTGAGTCGAGCACCTGTGCCCTCTGCCATCTCGAAATCGTCCTGCTCCAGGGCCTTCTCCTGTCGCTTCTGCTGGGCGCTGCTGCTCTTGATTATCTGCGCCACCTCGTTCTCAGTGCACTCGATGCCGTTGAAGGAGCACAGGGCCAGGAAGGACTTGAGTGTCAGGGTGAGACTATTCTTGTCCTGCGACTTCTCAATGTCGCGGATGATGTGGCCACAGGTTGCCTCCGACTGGGCACCAATCAGAATGTCGATGATCACGTCCATGCCCACATACAGCTGGTCCGCCTCGCTCTGGGTCTCCCTGGTCTCGTTGCTGCGCAAGGACTTCATCGTGGTCTCCTGGAAGGGTGTTAGCTTAATGCCACGCGCCTGCATGCTGGCCAGCAGCAGATCGGCCAGATCCTTAGCGGCCAGACGCCCAATGTTCGTCACACGTCGCACCACTTGGGCCACTGTGGCTGCTGTGCGGCTGTCTACCACGTCAGGTGTGAAAGTCGACGTTGTCATTGAGTTCGAGGTGGATGCGGTTGAAGTCGAGGCAATTGTGCTGATGAAGGATGATGTAGGGGTGGAGGAGCCGATGGGCGAACGCTTCGTTGGCTTCGCCTCGTGGGGTATGAGGAAGCAGGTGGACAACAAAAGGAATAGCTGAAGGCGCCACATCTTGAACGATTGGATGCTGAACTCTTAACTCTGAACTCTCGAATGCTTGATCTTAACGCTGATGGAACTCGTCGGTGATTGATAGATCTCGCCACGATCCGAGCGCTTTTATGGTCGATGCTTATCGCCACTGGCAAGCTTTTCCCTCACCCGCACAGCGATAGCCACATGCCACAGCATTGGCATGCTGTAAACGTGCCCCCGCGATCGTCATCATATCATTGCTTCAGAGCATTCTTTCTGCATGTTCTGGCGTGGGTCTTATCTCCATCTCGCAGCTGAAAACGAATCAATGGTTTGCTACAAAAAGTGTGTGAGCTTCATCAGAGAAAGAACAAAAAAATCTGATGGGAACGAGATTTGATTCCGCTTCAGCATAAATATTGTTCAAACAGAATAAAGACTGATTCGACTGGGTGCATCAAAGTTGGATCTTTTTTCCCGTAAATGCTGAAACGTTCCGCTCATTTATGATTCTTTCTGAACCTTCCATTACTCCATGACTCAACGTTAGAATTTTCCAGCTCAAATGATGGCTGCAGTCACCCAAATAGCCCCAATGTTCTGTCAAACCCAATTTTGTGGGTATCTTTTTTGGCTGAAGCACGTGACGCCAGCTGTTGGGGGTTTACGATTTTGGCACTATGATTTCCGCATAGAGATACGAAACACCTGGCCCAAATGCGCATTGTACTCGTATAAATGCACAAAGCTCGCCTCAATGTGTCCAGTTAGAAGTTAGACCAACGCGCCAAGACCTAGCCCAATCCAAGCGAATCCGATGGCAGCCTTCACACAGAACCAGACCTTTGCTGCGCTGCTCTTGATCGCCCTGGCGGGCAGCACAGCGGCTCAGACTTTTACGCAAGAGGATCGTGGCTCCATACTGAAGTTCATGGATGTGCTGCTGAATTTCCTGGACTTGGAGACGGACAACACCACTAGCACAGTGTCGCCCTTGGAGACCACCACCACAGTGCCCAGTGAACCCACAGGGGAAACCACCGAGAGCACTGACACAACGAGCAACTCCACGGTGGGGGAATCAACGAGTGAGGGAACAACTACGCTGGCATCGAATTCAACGGGATCGGACACAACCACAGAGGTTACATCCACTACAGAGAGACGTCGCATTTGCTTCAAACGTGTCTGTTACAAATTTAGCAGCGACAAGGGCTATATCTACTAAGGGAGAGGCGACGACTGCTCAGAATAGCTCATTCATTCATTCATCAACACAAATAGGGGATAGGGGATCAAATCATGCACTCAATATAGGCAGATTGGATTACAGATCAACCGATTGCCATCAAGCACTCGTCAGAAATCTTTCTGAGTCTAAAGAATCTGCTGAATTCAGCAGAAAGAAGCAATCATCAGGCACAGAATTACTCCATTTCATGCATGACAGCTCGATGCAGTCATTGAAGCACTCGCTGATTATGTGGACTCGCTGAATCGTAAATGCCATTAGCAGTGTCCTTCCCTTTGGGCAACTGGACCGTGCAACCTTAGATTATGTAATTGAAATCGTTTGTTGTGCCACAAAAACCAATATTCTGCAAGTCAAAATGTATTCAGCAATCATTCGAAAAAATATATGCATTTATGTAGAAACATTTTCAGTGCACATATAGCCTCTGCTGTAGTTCTGCTGTCGTTCTGTCTTTCTGTCTTTCCCCAGAGGCCTGAACAAATTATTTCAATTAAAAGTTTTCGGGCAAAGCACTTAATGCCAGCACAAGTTGGGCGTTTATGTGCGCAAATCTTAATTGTGCCAAAAATACAAGCTATAAATTTGTATTTCAACGAGACACCACAGACACAGATACAGATACAGATACAGCTACGTACCACGACGAGTACACACAGCAGCAGCAGCAGCAGCAGCAGCAGCACAGGAGGAGGAGTGGGGTAGTGGGTGTTGGAGTGTATGTGTGTGTGTGTGTTTGTCTGTTTGTGTGTATGCATGTGGAAAAGGCCAACTCAAACTGACAGACAAAGCCCATTGGCAAAAGCTTTGTGGCTTTTCATTGAGTCGTAAACAAATGAAATTTAATTCGTGAAAAGATTTACTTGAATTTATTGTGCAAATAGTTGAATGTCAACGCTGCCGCAGCAGCAGCAGCAACAGCAGCCAGCCATCAAATGGAAATACCCAACTCCACATCCCAGATCCACATCACTCTTCAGATTCATTCAACATTTATTTCTCTATGCCCCTCCAGTGTCGGTGTGTATTTTGTTTGTGTTGTGCAAAATAATTGCCAAATTAAATGAAGCCACAAATATGCATGGGCTGACTAACTAACTGACTGACTGACAGTTGCTGCTGCTGCTGCTGCTGCTTTTGAACGTGTTCAACTTTCTAATCGAATTCCTAAAATAATCTTAAATCCGAATGCCATCAGTGGTAAGCAATCCACGGGGAATGCCCATTAAATTCCAAGCAATTCGATGCATTAACCAACAGAAATAGCAACGAGTTGCATCTACATACAAGTGACGAGTGGTAAATGCTGGAAGCCTCACTCTATTAAAATTCTATCTGTAGGAATTTTCAGATGTAAATGTTATTTATAGTAGGCAGGCTCCTGCCACGCAGTCATTCAGTTTGGTTGGTATGGAACTTATATTGATTTTCACCTCCCCCTTCCTAAGCAAAACTGATCTATTATTTTGTATCCCTCAAAGTGAGTGCTAACAAATTAATTGATTTGTCCGCCGTTTCCTGCCTGAGAACTTTTTGGGCTTCGGGGCTTCGGGGCATCGGTCATCGGGCTTGGGTTCGGCTTCCTCGTTGGCCTTGCGCCACGTGCCGCAGTCATTTAATTACTGACTATATTGTTATTATTATTTATCCCACACCCTGCCAATCCCCTTCATATGCGTGTCAACAACTTAACGAAGTTATCACACACACAGACACACGCACACCATGGCAGCGGATTAAGCGACCGCCGCGTGAAGCACTTTAAATTAGTTTCGTTGCATAAACAAGACCCAAGGGTGGCTGGCAGTGGCTGGGATTGAGAATAATGCACGCGTGGCCACAAACTTTAAAGACAATCCGGGGCATGAGCTTATCACAGACATCACGATTCAACCACCAACCCAAACCCAACCCAAACTCCCACTGCCACTCCTAATTTCACTTGCCACAGAGATAGAGACAGACAGATGGTCTGATTACATACAAAACGAGACAGCAGAGAGAAAGAGAGTGACAGTTTGGGAGTGAAAGAGATCTTTGAGACAGCAAAATATACTTAATTACATATTTAAAATAGAAGTTAAATATAATTAATTTAATCAATGAGAATGGAATAATAAACTTGTGTAGGTTTTATCTTTAATTGCAACTCCCATATGAGGCATACACCTAGTCCTATAATCTGTAATAAAAATCTAGTCACAAAATAATTCGGTTTTATTTATTTACTTTTTACATCAATTTCGGTTGCATTATCGACAATAACTTTAAGCAATCAAGCCAATCACAGTGTTGTTTTCTCTCTGCAAAATGATGTTTTTCATTATTTTTTACATGTATTTCTACACGCGTATTACATGCATTATACACGAGCATTATTTGTGCGAGCCCCAAAAGTGTGCTTTAATTTATGTTCCCCGAATATGCGGCAGGCGGCAGAATGTAAATCGATTTCAACGGACTTTACGCGCATTGAAAACTATTGAACTAATTATTCATTCAATTACTATTATTTTTAGTTCAAAGTATTGAATTAGTGCAGATATAAAGCTGTCAAGCCTACCGCAGCGCTGACACCAGTACTGGCCAGGACGGGCTTGTTCCAGCCTTTGAAATCCCTCAGGTATCGTAATGATTTGCTGCTCGAGACAGACAAGAGCTAAGAGCACTGCTTTGAGAAAGAAAAACCACAAATTATGAATTATTATCGAATTTTGCATACACTTTATTGTGCGACGTCGGACTCAGCATCGGCAGGCTGCTCATTCTCCGACTCGGACATGTCAGACTGATCCTCCTGCACTTCAGGGTATTCGAAGTCTTCCTAGTCACCGCTAATATTCAGTATGCAAAGATTCAAGAAGTAGTTATCATCGAAATCATCAGAGTCCTCAAATGGCACGTTTACCGGGGATATCTCTGGGATATCCACGTCGTCTTCTTCCTCTACGTCAACATCTCTAAATCCAATTTGGATACCGTCTCCGACAAAACGAACGTATCCGGCTTAAAGTCTGTCTTCCGTTTTCATGCAGTTTAGAATAAAAATAAAAAAAAGTACAAGCAAACTATCGTTTGCAATCGAATTATATTTACGCTATCCGAAGGCGAGACTGTGTTTGGGGCAGAGAAGCGCTTCATTGCCTCTCAGTGTCTCATGGGGCACTGGCAACTGTACCTTTTTCCGCATTTTGCACGGCACGATGAAAGGGTCGCCTGCTCTCGAGACAGACAACAGACAAGTTGCACTCCCCCCCGAAAAAAGTGCGTAATAAGCAGTGGGAGCAGGAGGAAGCCTCAAACTTAATCGCCGGAGAGGCTCGATTAAAAATGAATGTAAATCGCATTAGAGCAATAAAGCGATGATGCAATAAGCATGTACTCCCTGTCCGTGCATAGGGTTGGAGTGGCAGCAGCACCAGCAGGGGGTTGGGGCAAAGGATTACAAGCTGCCAATCCACTTGCCACATGACGCTCACCGATGGCCCATTGTTAAGTGGTTGAAACACCGCTCCTGCTCTTCTCCTGCCTTTTGCCTGTGTCCGGGCATTGTCCTCACCACGTTTGCTGTAACCTAATCCGCTCTGCCCATGCAGCCCGAAAGGAGCTGCACAAGAAAACACGATCAAGATGCAGGGTGTGCACAGGGGCCAAGAGATTCAGCATTCAGCATGTCTTCCATGATGGAGAGGCCAAAAGCACGACATACATTCGATTGACATGGACATCGATCGATTGCCCATGAAGTGGCAGCAGAAAAAACAACAAAAATTAAATATGACAAATAAAAAGAAGGAATTGAAATGATTAATGTGCATAGATGGCAGCATCCAAAGCGATTTTAGCGGTGTGCCCTGCCGTGCCCCCTTTGCAGACTCCAAACCACACCAAAGAATGGCACAAATTTGTATTTCCTTTTATGTTCAATTGATTTTGTTAAATTATGCAAATAGGTACTGCATGTGTGTGTGTGTGCTACAGCAAATTTGCTTCAATTATGTCTTTAAATGTATGCATCGTGTAAATGTTTGTGTAAATTTGTGCAACAAAAATGACAATCACAGTTTTAAAATGCTCTTTATGTTGTTGCTTTCCATTTGGAGGGGACTCTTTGGCTTTTTATACCCGGTACTCGAAGAGTAAATAGGGTGTATTGTATTTGTGCGAATAACGGTTGTATGTAACGCACACGATTAAGCCATGTCTGTCTGTCCGTCCGTATGTCCGTCCGTCCGTCCGTCTTGTTGAGCGCCTGGATCTCAGAGACCATAAAAGCTAGAGCCACAAAATTTTGCATCCAGACTTCTGTATTCTCACACTGTTATAAGTGTATTTCAAAAATATACCCCGCCCCCTTCCGCCCCCGCAAAAGGGCGAAAGCCTCCCAAATCTACATCTAAATCCGTAGGGAATGGCCATATCTATCAGATCACCGAATCCGATTGGGATCCGCGATTGGATCATTATTATAGCCACAATGAAGAATTTAATTTGCAGTGGCTAAACCCACCCTGTCCGTCAGCTTATATTTGTTTTTTTCACGTTCTCTCATTCACACTCTGCTTCGGCCTCTGCCTCTGCCGCGAGTCTGCAGTGTGTGGGTCTAGGGCTAGCTAAAGGAGCGTGTTGGTGTGTTAAGTGTTGTAGATGCATATGACAGATGAAGAAAATATTTAAAATTTGACAAAACACCGCTAAGGTGCAGAAGTGGTACTGAGTGCCGGGTATAAAAGTTGTGACGCGTAAGAAGCGTCTCACACGTCCCTTCTCGTTTATATTAAATAGGTGCCGTCTGGATACGCATCACCATCGTCGCAGTTGTGTCCTCCTGCTTCTTAAAGGAATTCTGAGTGCAGCTACTAGACTCTGTTACATCGCATAACTCCTTCATCGGCCACAAAGATGGACGCTGAAGTGTGGAAATTTCGTGGGTCACGCTCACGAGTCGCATTGGGTCAAAGTGTGCAGGAGAAATCCTCTTGCGTCGCCCCTTGCAGCTTTGTTGTAGTCACGCTAAAAGAATTGATAAATAACAATTTTAAAATAACATTTAAAGCACATTCTTTGCTGCATTTTAAGCAGATTGAAGTCCCATAAAAGTCTTCTCCAGCTGGGAGCAAACTCTGAGGAGCACTCGCGAAATAAGTCAAAGCGATCTGCACCTCATTCCCATCCAATTTGAGTGTCGAAAGATAGCTG